TGAAAGGCTTTTAAATTTTATAATAAGCATTTCGGTTGGCTTGCCCTCGCTTTGATTACCGTAAACACATAAATCGCGCAAACACGAGTCCGCATTTAGCGCCATGCAAATTCTAAAATAAACACAAACCCAATTTGTTGACTTTTCGTATTTGCCGGCGTCTTTTTGTGCCAGCTCTAAGGCGAAATGTACTTATATGTCTGGGCATTTCTATATGCCTTATAAAGGCGATAAATACGATTCTTTATACCTCAGTGCATTCCATTTGAATATGCGGAGAATAATTCAACTGGATAGCATTTGCCAATCTAAAGCAATTTACCCTATATCCGGTGATATACGGCCAACTGGCATTGTATTTCAATATACCTAAGCACTTTGTGGTTAGAATAATAGAAACATTGGATTCACGCAGAATCAGAAGCAAGTTAGAGGGAGGAGGGATAAATGTAGATAGCAGAAAAAGGGCGATATCGAATGAAGAAAATGAATATTACGAAAGATGCAGATAAGATAGTGAAAATTATAAAGTAATAAATATGTGGATTAAAAAAAGAATATATATATTTGTCACATATTTCGACATTTTAAAAGGCCTTAAGGCGTAGCACAATATCTCTACTGTCAACTCTGAGTACAGGGTATAGCTACAACTAACAATTATGGTAATAAATGTTGCTTTAATTTATAAGATTTGAACGCAACTGTTAATTAGCGCCAAAGCGTGCGCCCATTGCGCCCCAATAAGGCGGCCACAACGACGATGACGCCGTCGGCGACACTCCAAATGGAAACTAGTAATAATAAGAGCGATTTTTTTCGGCTCACTGCACTTTCAATACCCTCTCGTCTAGCAACTGATTTTATAAGGCTTTTTCTTTTACAGTCTATTTATATATCATATCTAATCTTGCTGTTGCCTTGCTTGGTCAAGGTGAAACATATTTAATTGTTAACTTTGTTGCATTGATCAAGCGGCCAGGCTTATTTAATGCCATGCGTCACACATTATGTGACACAGCTATCATAGCCGAAACAAAGTGTATCAAGAGCCAAATGAAGCGTAAACAAAAAGCAACGATAACAACGCAACGCAACGGCAAACAAACCCAAAGTTGCATGAATGAAACGCTCTGTGTGTGTGTGTGTGTGTGTGTGTGTGTGTGTGTGGATGTCATGAAGTGCCACGCCCCATTCCGTGCTGACCGACGGCGCCACTCAAATGTTAGCCGGAGTTTTATGAGCAGAGCCATGTGCACAGATGTTGTTGTTGTTGTCGTTGCTATTGTTGGCGTTGCTAAGCATACGGCGACGACACTTTGGCTAATTGCTTGCGGCAACAGCACTTGTCCCGGTCCGGCGAAAAGCGATTAACTGCATATTAGATAGCCCTCAACCAGAGGCACTCGCCATCTGAGAAGTGTGGCAAATCCGAAAAGTAAGTGAGCCGCGTTATATAATAATCATCTTTCAAATGCACAAGTGAATCATCGTTGAACGTGATAAAGTGCTGACTCCACTCACAATTATTCATCACATTTTACCATCTTTCACTTCATCGTCAGCCACTTCAGTTGTGATATTTGCCTTTCAGCATTTATTCCTTTCACATTTACTTCTCGGTCTTCGCACTCCCTTTTGGGTATTTGCTTCCGTTCTACCATACAAACTTGGCGTTTGGCTGATTATAATTACGTTCGGTTCGCCGCATTTTAGCCAATTGACAAGATTTTTGATTTGACATTTCTACCAGCACCTGTGCTAGCCACAGTGGGCAGCAATTAAATGCAGCGACCACCTATTTTGGTTAGACAGCCAAATTTGCAAATTTGCAGCGCCAATCGAGCGCCATTAAATTTGACAGAGTGCATAAAATGGACTTTGTGGTGTCTATGGTCATGTTTGCCTGGTACAACGAGAGCTACATATATAACGTGTACATACATATATACGTATATATAGTACATATATAGACTTGTGCATGTGTGTACGCCGGTTGTGATAATGCTGTTTGCCAACGCATTAACAAGGGTCGCCAATCGGCATTTGCGTTACGCATACGCCACGTGCGTCGCGCTCTACGTGTTTGTGCGTCTTTATGTTGGTGCGTGTGTGTATGTGCATGTGTGTATATTGCTCGTATGTTTGTATTGACGTTTTGCCAATTGTCTTGCAGTCTCAAGCGCACTAAGTGTCAGCATAAATAATTGACTGACCAAAGTGCTGGCTGACGAGTGTCGAGACTCGAGACTCGAGACTCGAGAGTCGAGAGCCGAGAACCTACTGCAGTCTGTCAATCAAGACACAAACAAACACACACACACACTTGTTTACCAATATATATATATTTAGGTCGGTCTTTGTGGCGCATGCAAATCTTATCGAGTTGACATAGTTGCAACCGTGCCGGAAATTGTTTAAAGTTACTTGCAATAATAAACGCCAAACAAGTTTAAACACAAAACTGCATGTTCGTTTATATACCTGTCAAAAAATATCCCATACCTGGCCAAATTATTGTCAGCTGATTAATGGAGCATTGCTGGCATTGAAACCAGTTAGCCAAGAGTTCTCAATGAATCCAAATGCTGACACACCACGGGGCGTATGCGTAATAAATAAATATAATAAATTATTGCTTAGCATGGATATAGAATGTGCCACAGACGTACACACACACACATGTACACATACAGAGCAGCTGCTTGCATGCAGTGATAAAGGCTTGTTATTGATAAGGTTCGCTTGTAAGTTCACTGGCTTGGTGTGGGCAAGCCCAACTAGCTATCAATGGCCCTCGACACAGCAACAGTAGTCGTGTCGAGCAACGTTTAGATAGTGGCAAACATTGCTATGCGATTCAATTAGTTTCAGTTTATGATGACTTTAATTTAAATAAATGAAAACAATTGTTTGTTATTTATAATTGATTACGATAGTTTGGAATGAGCTCAGTTTGCAAAAATGTGTTTAATATACAGAACCAGTTGTGTTTGGACTGTATAACTTCAACTGCAAGACTTATAACTTTATGACTGTGACTCATTAGCTACACTTACTCCCACAAATCTCTCTCCAGTCGACAATGCATCATGCAACTAAGAGCAGCTAATTCCCAGCTGTGTAATAATGCTGTAAGCTTATTACTCTGCACCAATACACATACACCCACACACACACACAGACACAGTCACACACATAAATTTAATTACAGTTACCGCAAAACGGTCCAACATAATTGCGTACTAATTGAGTTTTCATTTAAACAATATATGTATGTTACGTTCATTTGATTTTCGCACAGCAAACAAAAAGTAAATGCAACTTTTTGCGCAATTCATCGAATGCTTTAATAAAACTAAATGAAAAGCTTTTCGAGTCAATTAGCCAAATTGAAAATTTGCATTCAGCACACAAAGAAAGAGCGCCAGCAGCAGCGGAGCCACGAGCAAAAAGTATATGCACCACAAATGCAAACACACGGGGCCAAATGAAACCTGCAGCGGCGCAAGCCGCAAAAAGCATTTAACCCACATTGCTGTAAGGCAAAAAACTTCGTTAGGAAAGCTCTGGATTTGTTGTTCGCTTTGGCTTCACTTTGACTTTGGCTTTGCTTTTGGCTCGTGGGTAGGCTTCACGGGGGCCTAACAAGCGCCGCACGAATGCAGCTCAGTGGAAAACGAGTCAAGAAGACAGCTGCTGCTTAAATTGCATTTTAATTTGCTGTACGCTCGCATTAATTAGCAGGAGCCGTCCGCAAACATTCTCGTCTCAGCTAAGCGCACCCCACGGGCCAACACAAATAGCAAAAAAAAAAGAGAGAGAGAGAGATGAATATATATATGTATATGTATGTGCATATATATCTGCATGTAAAATGAAAACATTTACAGGGCGACCGGTTTGTCCAATGTGTATCAAGTGACCAATTGGTGAGATGCCGGCACTGGTGGTCGAATGTGCGGCATTTGCATGGCTCCCGCGGCTGTCATTTGTTTTGAAATATACGAGCGGCGTTCTTTGTCGGATCTGAAACCCTACAAAGTCGAAAACAGTGGCCGAAATTTAACGAGAAATGCTTGAAATTATTGTCGAAAGTGTATCACATGTTGGCCGTGGCCTCCAGATTTGAATGACTCGCTCGAGGATACCCTATAGTTGGATAATAAGATTAAATCAATAAAATAAAAAAGCAGCCTTACTTTGACTCAAATGTTTACCAGACCGAAGCTTATACAGTTAAATATATATATATATTGCATATTAATGAGAACAGTTTTCGTTAATTTGACCCACTGTGCAGCGAACGTACTCTTTCTCTTTCAACTTTTTCTACTCTGTGTGAAATGTGTATCAAGTGTCGGACATGACCATGCCCATGCCCCATGCCAATGCCCATGCCCATGCCCAAGCATATGGCGCATTTGCGCCACTGTCACCACTGACACAATTTAAATTTGCAACACTTTCAAGGCGCGTGCCCCGCACCTTCGAGCGAGCACTGCATCCAAATGCAACACGTGCGTGGGCCACATAAATTGCCGTCAAAATATGCGCGACAATAAATTAAATAAAATACAATATAACACAACATATGACAGTCATTGCCCGCCCCCGCTGCCCACTGCGCCCTAGCCCGATCCGCGTCCAATTGGTTCCCTTGGCCTGATGCGGATAATTTGCACAGCAAGCTGAGCCTTTCGACAATGTAGCGCTGACATCATGGATGGCCGGATGGATGGATGGATGGATGAGGGCGTGGCCGCATTTACATTTTAATGGAGGTTGCGTAATTTATGCACGTTATTGTTATTGTTGCGTGGACTCTGGTTGTTGTAGTGGTCGTTACCTTATGCCTCTCAAGGTCATTTACGTGCCCATATTAATCATTTGCGTGGAAAAGTATCAAACTCGTGGATACTCTCTACTCAATATGAGTGGCTGATCGGGGGAGGAAGAAAACTAACTCGATGACTTCTTTAAACGCACTTTATGTTTAATCAATTATAGCTTGTTTAAGTATTTAGATAACGTAGTAGATAATTTTAATGTATTCAAAGCGCATAGCTCTCATTTGAGTGCATGGAACACTTCGTCCATCCACTTAATATGCACCTGGGCAGCCAGCATGCATAAACTGTGCTGACTGTTAATCGATATTGACTATATTAGGAGCACGCAACACTCTATAGTAGATCTCGAGCTCACCACAGCCGGCACTTGTCCGCCTGGTGCATGGCCTGGCCGGCCGCACAGTTGAAAGCGTTGGCAAATTGCTCGTGATGCGGCCAATTGCGATTGACTCGCTCATTATGCAGGCCGTGCTCCGCATCCTGCGTGACGCTCATGCCCGTAATTTCCTGCATGTTGGCGCATAAGAATTGCACCGAGTTGATAAAGAAGAGCTGCTGCTGTGTATAATTGCCCACTGGTGGGCGGTCAGTGGGTGGCACAGCATTAAAGTAGGATGCAAATGCCAGGCGTAAGCCCACAATGTCCGACATGCTCTCGGAGAGCAACAGCTGCTGCTGGGCATTGCGCTCGGTGTAGCAGCTGATGAAGTTGGCAAAATGCTGCAGCAGCGCCAACCCGGTGAGATTGTAGTTGCCTCGGCCGTCGTACACAATGTGAAACAAGTCAAATGCATGCTGCAGCTCGTGCGCCAAAATGAAGCCCAGCTGGGCGTGCTGCAGCAAGTCGGAGAGGCGAGCATCGTACAGCGGCAGTTGCAAGTAGCCGTGTTGCAGCAGCACGGCATTTTGAAAGATTTTCCCTGGGGAGGAGCTGCGCGCCACGACTGCATCCTGCTGATAGTATTCATGGGCTGGCCACATGCCTGGCTGGTTGGCCAGCAGCTGTTGGTCGAGCCGTTGATAGAACCGCAGCAGCTGCAACTTGTTGCCATAGAAATCATTGTGCTGCAGCTGCAAGTCCTTGTAGTATGCCATCAACTGGGACATGGTTAGGCCTGGCGGCATGTTGCCTATTTTGAGGCGCAGGCTGTGCAGCTCCTCCAGCACATAGGACAGCTCCAGTGCATTCAATTGCAAATGGTTCTCGTTGATCAGCCGCTCAAACTCCTTGCTTAGCCTTTGCTGCAGCTTCTGCAGCGCCGCATCAGTCGCCGCCCGTCGTTCGCTATAGTAGTGCTGCTCGTACAGGTAGTTCATGGCCAGTGGCATGTGACCGCGCAGCTGCAGCACACAGGCCGTGGAGCGCGTTTCATTCGAGCCGGTCGGCGGCAACTCCTCGTTGAATGCATAGAGCAGCTTGAACATGAGATAATAACAGATTGTCTCGTTGGAGCTATCCGCGAGTATCAGCTGCAGCTGCTCCAGATAGCTGGCATTGAGCGCTGTTACCTGCACCAGCTGCACTGCATCCGCCACATCTGCATCCAGCAATTCTAGCAAATAGTGACGCCAATTAATTTGGGGCAGCCGTTGCTGTAGCTCCGCAAATGTCCACTCGGTCAGGCTGTCCGTTGATTGCGGGCTTTCCTGGAGCGTTAGGTTGCCTAGACGCCACTCCAGCTGCATCAATTTGTCGGTCAGATTCTTGGCCAGTGACTCATCCAGTCCGAAGGCTGCGTACAAATCTTGTACCTCCTGTTCACCCAACGGCTCCTCATCGGCTAACTGCGGCGCCAATAGCAACACATAATGCGATCCATTGCCGCGTCGCACGTTTACATCCTGTTTGATAAAGACGCCATTTAGGCCATAGACACGCAGCTTGGCCAGCGTGGCCAGCCAATCGAATCGGGTTTCGTTGCGCCACTGTTCGCTGTGATTGCTTCGAAAAATGGGCCACTCCAGATCCAGTTGAGGCTCCAGCAAGTGCAGCAGCTCATTTAGTGCCGGCTGCGCCAAGTCACGACACGACACATAGTACGCCCACAGCAGCTCATAGATGCCGCCTTGCTGGCAGTGACTCTCTAAGGCGTTCAGTAGTTGTTTGTTGTATTTGTAATCCATGTAGCCAGGCATATCCAAATAGCTTTGAGTGTCTTCGTAGTTTGCACTCCAATTACCACAGGCGTAGCCATAGAAATCCTCGCAAGGCTCCACGCTGGCATTCACATTGAGCAGCACTTGTGCCAGAAACCTCGAGTCGAACTCCATCAGCTCCAAGTGGGATATGGGCAGCAGCCATGTCCCAGATATGCCCAGCATCAATGGCAGCAGGAAATTCAATAAACGGCGACACTCCATAGCGACAGTTGCATGTCAACTGCTCTTCAAAAACGTTGAGGCAGCCACGGCGTGGCGTCTCAGCATTTGGCGTTTATCGCTCGGTTTTGCGCAAAAGGCAATCCAGATATTTCATTATCGCCTTCAATGCTTGGCTCTGGCACCAGCTTGGATTTCATTCCACTGCCATGGATGGAAGAGCTCTCCAGATATACGCAGCTGAATGCTGCTTGATGCTCTCTGATTGTTGCTCCCTCTCTCTCTCTCTCTCTCTCTCTCCGTCTCTCTGTTTATTTTGCATCCTGTTGGCAATTAGTGCAAGTGGCTGCCAATGATTAGAAAGCTTTTCTTAACGGCGGTTATGGCACAGTCAGCCAGCTGGCTTGCTAGAGCAACTCCTCTCGGCTTAATCCAATCAATGCCAAAGACTGTGGAGCTGAGTGACGTTTGGTTCCGTTTCGGTTGCCTTTGCTGATTCAATTTGAGCTTGACAAAACTCAACTTTGGCAACCTCGTTCGTTGGCTGTCGTCAAGTTGAAATTCATGTTAAATCAAAGGACGAATTTACACGAAAAGGTTTTCGATGGTGGTGCTCAACAATACCCTGTAACAAATTGAATGGGTTTATTAAGTTTTGAAAATAATAATATAAGAACTGTTGCCAATTGATTATATTCAGACTTACTTGTTCAAGTTTTTGAATACAGGGTATCACTCGAGTCGACTACTTCTGTTTGCTCGACTCAACTTGAACATATCAATTTTACATTACAGATTAAGGAAGCCAAAATGGATTGTGTGAATTATTAAAAATTTACCCTTTAGGAATATATTGAGCTGGTAACGTGCTAATAGGGTAAGCTTTAGTCGAGTAGAAGACGGTGTTGTTGTTGTTGTTGTTGCTGCTGTTGCATTTGATGATTATAGCCTGTGGCGTGTGTTGCTCTTAAGCGTCGCTGCTCATTTGGGTGTTGTTAATATTCATTAGCATTCACTCTCACACTCACACACATACGGCTTACCCACACAAACACCTGATGCGGGCGATGGGCGATGGGCGATGGCGTGCCATTAGCATCATCCATCACGAAAGCTGTCGTTGCTTTGATTAGCGCATCGCGATAAATGGCAAACAAAAAATGCTCCAGCGATGATCATCAATGAAATTTTCATTTTCATTTAGTTAAGTGGGTCACATCGATTTTCGGCCATTTGATAAATTAATGAAAAAATCTTGTAAATGCCAAAGAGTCGAAATGAAATATTCTCAGGCATTTATCCATTTTCCGGCAACTGCATCTAATGTAAATGTCAGCACTGCTCAATTAAAGGCATTTCGCGTCAATAAATAAATAAAGAAAATTGTATTCTGATTTAATGGAGATTTAAACCCACTCAAAATGTGTTAACGATTTTTAAGTTAGCTATTCAATTGTTATTGGCTAAATTTTAATTATGCATTGCATTGAAATGCATTTGGCCAACAGCCAACAGAACTAAATCAAATGCAGCCACAAATCAGATTTGTTTGCACTGAATTAAACACAAATTGCACAAAACCAAAAATAGAAACTGTGAAATGCAATTAAGTTCAGATAATAGACAGTATTTAGCAAGTAGATTAAAAATGAGCCGATTGTTAATATTGCCTCGTCTCAGCTTGCGCATTATATGAAATGTTATTTGGGATCTTTCAGCATTTCTCTTAATAGAATTTCGTAACAAAAATAACTTCAAGTAATTTACTTAAATGAGTATGCTTTAAATACATTTATATAAATATATATAATTATATATAATATTTTCTGTTATGGTATAAAGTCAAATATTGCCATACTCTGCAATTGTCAACATTAAAATAGTAGCTCAATTTTAAATTAATTATCTTAATGTTTATGTATGCATAATAAATACATAACACAAATAAATTCTAATATCTACATAAATGATTGCTATAGCAAACCCCACAACTCATCTCTTCTGCATTTATTTCTCTTTCAGCTATGCATATATTTCAAGAAGCATTCTCACTGCTCACTCATTCATTCGTCTTGATGAGAATGCAATAGTCTCTCGTCTATTAGGTAAGTGCAGTGTCAATTATGCAATTCAAAGGGCAATTTAATTCACCCTTTATTTAAACACTTCAAAATAAACTGCAGATATTGTTTACACAAGCGTGACCATTGACTGACTCCATTATTCACTTTGATGCCAAATTTACAAAAGTCATTCAAACATGTGATTCACCAATATGACTTTTATCCACCTGATGAATTGCACAAATATAATTTATATAGATAACAAAATGAAAATGAATTCAGAAAATGAAGCAACTGCAATTGTTTAGCCACATAAAATGTAATAAATACTCCACATATGCATAGCTCGAATTTCTTCTCCTTCTCAATGGCCATTTATCATTTCACATAGACAAATGCGACTTATGCCGGATGTGACGTGTGTCTATCTGATGGATGGACAGCTGACAAATCAGTCATATATTGACTGGTTAAAGGTTTATCACTGTCACTGTCCTATGCTATGCCAGCTAATCAATAGCGCTTTGCCAGCTATGCATGTAGATTACATTGCAGTCACCTAAATAAAAAGTAACCCTGCACTTGACTCTGATGCCGGAGCACCTGTGCAATTCACTTAATGTCAACTTAAATCCGGTTTCATTGCGGAATTGCACCGGGGGGGCCAAGGTAAATCTGGTCGACGGACGTCGGGCAACGGAATTGTTGCAATTTAGCGACAATAAGCTGACCCAAAGCTTACGCACGCCCCATCACGCCCATTTTGTTTGCAGTTTGCCATTTTGCCTTCTGTTTGCCCGGGAACGTGTCACAGGTAGAGCTCTTGGGGCAGCAAAGGTAGCAAACAAAGCTGTGGCTAAATCAATGCCAAAATGGGTAACAGTCGTAGCTGCACACTTTGCAGCGCATGCTGCAGCCCACTGCTAAAGGAGGAGGAGGAGGAGCAGGAGGGGTTGGGGGAGCAGCCACCGTGAGTGTAATCAGTTTCCACATTAATTAAGCCCGAGGCGAAGAAGGTAGACAGACTGAGTCATGCGAACGTGCGCTGGCATTTGCCAGGACGTAACTCCAGTGACCGGCTAAAGCATGAAATGGGAAGGCAGTGAGTGACATGCATTACTTTATTTGTAGTCCCTCGCTTGCCGAATGAAAGCTTTAAGTAATGCTCTTTTATGTACGAGTCGGCTCCAACGAAAGTTGTCAATTCAATTAGATTGCGAGCGCTAGAAAGAGAAGAAAGCGAAATGCCAAACTGAGTGTCCTTTCGACAGCTGAATGCCATACAGACGATATGCGCTGAATTAAACATTCTGCCCAAGCAGCTCCTTACAATGTCCTCAGTGTGCTCATCAATAAATAAAGCCATGGACGAGGAGCTGTTAAATGTCAGGCCAATGCCAAGTTAACTTGGGCACATTGGAGCCATCTCCGTTGTGTGCCTTCTGTCAGTTTGTTAATTTGATTAAATGTAACTCGGCAAACAGATAAAAACAACTCATATATTTACTACCAAATTACATACATCGCTTTCATATGACGACATGTCACAGACATTTATTCGCCGAGAGTGGATCAAGCGTTATTCAAATTCAATGATTTTTCGTATTATTTTCAGCTTGAATTTATTTTATTTTTGCATAAGTAATTATAGCTGAAAGGATACCCAAGACTCCTAATTAATTGCAATTCGTAGAGTCTAAGAATTTACGGAACTCGCTTATTACGGTAAATTGTAGAATTTGTGAAGCGCATCTCGCGCACATTTATTGAAAGACAAACAAGACAGGCTGAAAATATGCCAAGCCCCATTGAGGAAACGGAAATGCCAAAAGGTCCATGAAGTGCGTGTTTCTGCACATGTCACAACGAAATAAAGTCACGCGGGTGGTGCTGGTGGTGCACTGCGTGTGCTGGAGCGAGGAACCTTGTTTGTCAAAACGATGTCAATATGCAGACAACAACAACAAGGCGACAGCGAGCACGAGCCAGTTGACAACAGTGGAGGAGCAAGGGACAAAGTAAGAGACAACAACAACTGAGTGTAATGATAAGGGGAGAAAGAGGCGCACAAAAAGTAAAGAAAAAGACAAGACAACAATATCGTGCGTGCGACCATTTTGACATAGATAAAACCCAGGTCGGGTCGAGAGCGGCTACCGAAGACAATGCAACTACATGAAAACAACTTTGTAGACTCCGTAGGCACAATGCTCCACTGACAAATACCCAATTTCTAAAGGGCAATGCGTATAAGCTTAAGATCTTAACTTATAGCTTACGTTTACTATTCAAATTTGGATAGGCCTCTAAACAGAGCCAGACTGCTCGTCTGACCTAAAATCGAAATTTACATAATACCCACAATATAGCTATAAAATATTCAATTTATCTGGCTGTCATGAGAGGCCCGTAGAGCTGGGTCTGCTTCAAATATTCTATGACTAAAAATGAATGCGTCCCCAAAGAGATCTATATTTCCATTAGACATGATGATATCATGCTCCTGGCAAAGTTTTTGCATGGTAAATTGTTTTCGTTGTTGTTTTGGTGCTGTCTAAATTGCCATTTTATCTAATACCTATGGCTAAAACAACTGCTAATTGAATCGAATAAACTTTGTACAACGGAAACATTAGTGAATCGTGTGGGTAGATGAGACACACGACAGATGCTATTAGGGCCTCTTCAACGACAGGGTATTTAACTGCAGTTGAACTAATTCCAGTGCATTCACTGCTCGCATAACAATGGGGCGTTTGCAGTTTATCTTTCAGCACTCAACTTTATAAATGTGCAGAGTAAATAAAAGAATATGCGAAAAGTTTGCCCCATTGCAAAGCAATGTTGATGAGCTTTTAAGGACGGAGGCAACAGGAATTTGCTCGCATACAAATGTTATGCACTTTTTCTTTTTTGGGTGTGTCCTTTGGCAGCCAGCTGAAAGGATGGCAAACAGGGCAGCGCATTGTTGTTGTCGAACGAATGCCGCTCAATGATTTATGAATATTTGCTCACATTTCAGGCGGTCATGAAACATTAAGGTTTAATTAAGCGTTCGTCAAATGCCCCTGGGGACAACTGGGCGCATCCTGAAAAGCTCCTGACATCCTGTTTTGTTTCGGCCTGCGGCTCGTACGTTGCAACATCGGATTGTCCCTGTTTGGATGAGCCCGCATTGAATTCACTTC